CACTATAATAAAGTTATTTTTTATTAAGTACTTTTCGAGTTATGAGGCTTGTAAATTACAGTATTTTGACATAAAATACAAAATATCTTGTAAAACATTCAGTTTTTGAGAATGTTACCTTAATACTTTTATGCACAAAATAATGAGACAAATAAATTGGTATAAAGAAAACACATTGGTTTTAAAAAAAGTATGCAGTTGCATGTTGCAAATTACATATTTTTTCTTGAAAGCAACTATGTGTTTTCTTTATACCAATTGATTCGTCTCATTATTTTGTGCATAAAAGTATTAAGGTATAATTCCCGAAAATTAAATGTTTTACAAGATATTTTGTATTTTATGTCAAAATGCTGTAACTTTCAAGCCTCATAACTCGAAAAGTACTTAATAAAAAATAACTTTATTATAGTGTTTTGAAAAACTCTTGACACCAGCTATTAGATTTTGGAATCAAAAATAGGGTGTTCTATTTAAAAAAAGATTATATATACTTATCAGGATATTGCATGTGAGAGTACTTTTGAATGTGACACAATATTATATAATAATATTTACTTCTGATGACCATAGAAGATTATTGCAAATTTGAAGGGAAATTTCAACAAGACAGGGAAATTAGAAAACAGTTTGTAATTTTTTTATTCAATGTTGCTTTAAAACTAAACTATTACGGCGCATTTCAATATAGAATTTCAGTATAGAATTTAGTATTCTATCTGGATAAATTAATCACTATTTTATATCTGGTTTTTATGTTGCAGAAAAAGAAAATTTCAACAATTGAAGGAACTACATATGCTAATCAGACGAGAAATATTCTGAAATTCATTTTAGATGATAACGTTTCCAAAAAATAGTCGTGAACAGGAAAAAAACAATCAACACCAACAAAAGACACAATATTTGCTAACATTATTATAGGTAATTAAAAACAAAAATATTATAAACATAAGTTTAAAAAGTACGTTATAATTAACATAGTAAATTAGTTACATTTCTTTAAATAAATTTCAATTATGAAAAACAAATCAATATATGCAATTGTTAGATCAATCTAATAATTTAAATGCAACAATTGTTACATTTACTTCTTTATATTTTAACAACAGTTTTCAATATTGAGAGGGGATTCTAGTCTAGAAGCTTGATTTTTAGGTTATCTTTGCGATTTTTTTGTGGGAAAGCTACGGAATTTTTTAAGATTTTTTCTACATATTAGTGCACCTTTCAAGTATCTTTCAAAATTTTTTTATTTTAAAATATAAGTAAAGAAGCGCGGTACATGTGGTTTTTCTAACCCATTTAAAAAAAAAGTGATAAACGGTGCCCATTATTCCGGCCGTTGTAGTAATCTAAAACAAAAAATTCGAAGAGATTCTCAAAATATAAAAGTTTGGCTCTTGCTTGAACTAGAATTTTTATAAAATATTAAAATTTGCGGAAGTTGTGCGCTTTTGAAAGTAAGGTATCGAATTTCGCGACTTTTTTTCAGCTTTAAAGTGTTGCAAAATTTACAAAAAACCATATTTCAAAAAGATTCTAGTTCCAACCATAGTCACACATGTGCTGAAAATGTGTGTAAAATTTGACAATGATCGGAACAATGAATTTTGAGATATCATGGGTACCAGTTGAAAAAAAGTGGTTTCACGAAAAACGCGTTTAAAGTTTTTTTAACTTCTTTACTTTACTTAGAGGAGTCCTGCTTTCTAGG